CCACCTGCTCTACCCAGCGCTTGGCCTCGGCCAAGTAGCGTTCGAGAATCTTGTAGGCTCTCTTGGTGGATTGCTGCAAAGCGGGATCGGGCGTCGCTTGCGGCTTCGGTGGGATGGAAGTTGGCAAAGGAGATGGCCCCGATTTAGCAGAAGTAGATACAGGCCGAACATTAGGTGGATGACGGGCAGAATGCGCCGTCGATGACCCAGATGACGTCGACGTCGACAACGTCAACGCGTCTAGAAGTTGCGTGGAATGCACTCCAGCCCGCCGCAGTTGTTGAGCAGGTATGGGGGCACCAGATGGGGTATGGAGCATTTTGGCCTGGCGGGGTATCAGACCGGGAGCCGAGAAGACGTCACTACGAGATGTGTGTATTGGGGATCTTGATGGGGATGCGGAAGACAATGGGTAGTGTGAAGCATCGGAGGCAGAAAGTTTCCCTGCCAAACATAAATCTTGAGAACGTTGGAAGATTTGAAGGGGCCTGGTATCGACTTACTGGGCGACAATGGGTCGCGGCGTCTTCCTGAAGTCTATATGGATGGGTCAGCGCCGAAGGCACAAAGAGGAACGCGCTGAGCTTACAGGAGTCTTTTGCTGTGCAGCATCCAATATATCATACGATGACTTGGCGTTGGCGCGGATCGATGCTGATAGATAGAGATCGTCAGATGCAAAAACATTGATTGCGGCTCATGACTGCTGATGAGGCAGCACTGACCATTCTCCTTCTGTGAAGGTACGATGGCGCTCGATGACGCCGCCGCTTTCATGTGTATTGGGCTTGAATTCTTGATATGCGCTGGCATAGCAGAGATATCAGCGCGACAGCTGGGATATTGAAGTGAAAATCAGCTTACTTGAGTGTCCTTTGCCGGCCCGGGCGTCCGAAAAGGAGTCTAATGTTGTGGTGTGGTCCTCTAGGTGGTGGGAAGGGATACATTAGCGAGCGAGCCGTTGTAATGTAATCAACACAAAAGCTTCATGTATCCAGAGATAACGGAACGTGAGTTCTGAACGACGTACTGATGATGTGTCCGACAAGACTACCACCTGTCGCGTCATGCAAGCAGCCAGGTATGGGACACCGAACTGCTTTGGCGTGAGTCTGAAGCAAATGTCCATAAAAACCTTGATGGTCATTGAAGCGCGTCTGGCAGCCAAAAGGGCACGATAGCTGATCCAGCGCATGTGCAGGGGATAAGGTAGACCGTGGCGGTCTGGGGGAATTCGGATTGGGAATCGATGAGGGTAAGTGAGCAGAAGCAGGCTGGATAGGAGGAGTAGCGGCAGCACGAGTATCTGGGACCGGTTTAGCATGGGATGGTGCAGAGCTATTGGGAGATGATCGGGTGATAGCAGGCTGGGGAAAGTGAGAAGCATGGCCCCCAGTGTTGATGCGAGGCTGCCCGGGAAAATCCACAGAGAGGTCAATAGGGTTGTCACGATCGCCCGATTGTGTGAGGGGCAGACGAGAGGGGCCAGCAACGATATGCGATTGAGTCGGACTAGGGGGGTCTGACGAAAGATCGATGACGCCGCTGCGAGTGCTAAGGTTTAGTTTAGTATTTTTGGGGTCCATATCGTTGAGAGGCATTCGTTTGGCTGACTCTCCTGATTTTGTGACCCGTTTGCCCTGTCCCGGTGGGGGCTCAGGCTTCGAGGGAGAACTCTCCGACTCAGATGACAGGCTGATGACAGAAAGCGCTCTCTTCAACGACGTGACTTTTCGGGAGGGTGTGAGTGGGCTGTCCTTGGGAATGGTGCTAGCCGTGGCCGTGACCGTCAAGGTCTGAGGTTTGGCATGCAGAGATCGGGGTGACATCGAGGCGGAGGTAGGAGGATGAGTTTGGCTCTCCAGTTGAGAAGAGGATGGGTCAGAATGACGGGGACGTGCTATGTGGAGGAGTGCTTGTGAGCTGAACAAGCTTAGCATCCACGGGTTCATAACTTACCGCTCGAGGGTTGTTCTACAGAGATGACTAGCTGAGGGGGTGACTGAATATCGCGGCCCGTACCGTTGCCGATGGAGCGCACGCGCTTTGCTGGACGATGAGAAGACTCTCCGCCTACGCCGGCGTGAAAAAGGATATTCAGGATGTAGCAAAAAAGTTTGAGGGAGAAGGAGCGGCACGCATACCTGTCGCGTCCGAAGGCCGCTTCGAGAGTGAGTTAAGTTTCTGGGAGGCAGAGGGAGGCTGCGCCTGCCGGAGAGCATTGGCTTGAGGCTGCCCACGGCGAGAGGCTGCATGATGGTGAAACGACTCAGCATATGAAATGTATCGGATTTTTGTTGGGCCTACCCTTTGACGGATCGGAAACAGGAGCAGGATGGGCAGGATGCATCATAAAGACACAATAATTCGGGAGGAGAGCGACGTGCGGCTGGCCGACGAATTCTGAATCAACGATCGGGTGAACGACGAATCGGCTGTAACGGGACAAGGCCCCAGGCAACCAAGGCCGCGCAAGCGGCGTCGATTGCCTGGTCGGAGTAGGGAAGATGTTTTACTGCGCGGAGGACGAAGCAGGCTGGACACGATCTTCAGTTGCCACTTGTTGATCCACCAGTCGTCGGTTGACACCCACAGAGAAGGCCAAGTCACTCGAATGAACACAATGAACAGAGTGAATAAGTTGACCACGAAGGATTGCCTGAAGATTGTGAATGAATTATGGTCTGACGTAGGCAAGATAACTGCCGAACAACGAACAGCACAAGCCATGGGATGTCATGCTCATCGAGGTTGAACAACCACTCGCCATGAAGCACGAGCACAGAGAGATGTGTAATGATTGCCAGGGAGAGTCTGAATAGCAAGAAAAAATCGTTCCTCGAGGTGGAGGCTGTGTGGGCAAATCACAAGGAATTGTCGTGTCATCCGCGCAGAGCCATATCCGGGCATGTAGAATCAATTTTCTCCTGGTTGCTTGCCAAGCTTCCTACCACCACCACCGCTACCACCACATTGCTAGGGTCGAGCGGGTCATCTGGCTGCTCTTATTTCACGTCCCCTTGAAACCAACTTGACCATTCTGAGCTCGATGCATAAGAGCATGGTCGGAATCATTCTGTCAGATAACGGCCAACACTCTCGAGGCTTGATACGGAGTTTAAAATGGATATTAATGAACCCTGAGGTGCGCGACTAGACATCGCGACTGAGAAGAGATTTGATTCGTCAATTGGTTGAGGATGAGACATTGTTGCAAAAACTCACCGTGAAATAACATTATGATCGATCCAGCCAAGTGACAATTATTGGTGTGGAATTTGGTACTTCATTGAACAAGCTATCAGCACTTGCTTTTCAGTTCCAGCTAGCAATTGGGCAATAATACTGGGGATCGTCTCTTACCTTGTCTGACATCTTGACGACGAGCCGGTCATGAACAAATGCTAACCTGCCTTCAGCTGCCACAAGGGCAGCTATCTGAAGGGGCTCAGTACGCCGCTTTATGCGACTCATCGAGAGCCATTCATCGACTCTCATCTGTGCGGTGAAGTTTTTGTTCTGAGGGGCAAAACGCGACAGCATGCAACTTCAGTATGGGCGAGACAGTCAGCTGGCGTCGTAAGGGGTCTCTATGGGTTGATTTGTGCCTTACGCCACTCAGTACTTGTCGGGTCTCTGGTGCTGCAAGAGCAAATAGCGACACCTGTGCATGCAGTCAACAACGCTGCCGATGGGCGGATAGTTTTGCTGCCATCGAGAGGACCTAGGGCAGATGCAAGCGAGCGCATTCCCGGTATTCATATGGCGAGAATCAGTCTATGTTGTTGAGGCCATCCGATCATGCCGCTGGAGGAGTCCATCGCCCAAGGGCTGTTTATGAGTGTTTCGTTTCGTGTCCCACCCCACTCAGGTCCCCCAATATGAGCAATCTAGTTTCCGATAGTCAACTACTGTCCGAATGATGAAATCCGCCGTATGACCAACGCTAGCTGGGCCGCTCTATATTGTGACAAGCGCATAATGCGCCTCAGCATGAGGCTCTCGAGTTGAGACGATCAGGCCCTTCGGCAACTTTTATTGGTCAGGACTACGCTGTGAAGAGATACAGTTCTACTCGTTTCCTAACCAGTGATATTGTGGCTGGTTATGAGCTTCTTAGTTGAAGAAGTGATCGCACCCCAATTCTATCTCCTTCTCTCCCCCCTTCTCTGGAGCGTTGCCATTTGCACCTAGGAAGTTACGACCATGACACCAGTACAAAAGGGTTGTGGCCCGACCCTGATCGTTCACTCATATCCTTTCCAAACCGGTCGTGTGTACAGGTTTCGCTCGCGGTTCGCCGGGTCGGATGACCAGCTCGATGTTTTCCCAGTTTTCCCATCTTTGTTTAAGTGGTCTCTTGTCGTAGTTTACATTAAATTCCTTCATGTAAGCACTTATAATCGTTATCGTGTTACGGCGGAGCTGAATTAACACAGATAGCCTTAAAATTCCCCTCTACCTCATCCTCAGTCCTTGCTAGTCGCTGTCGGCTTGGCCTCATGTGTTGGTATAAAAGGCATTGCATATAAGTCCTTCTTATCCCCCCTTCTATTCGACATACTTCCTAGCTTTGTTTTTTTGTGGATGTTGCGAAAAAAGTTGTTTCTTAAATGTGGAGAGATGACTCGCTGCATGACGGTTCCGCAAATGATTTGCAACAGCCAGACATCAGGAAAGGCTCGCAAAAACACAGCAATTAAATACTTGATAGAAGGTACAACTTGGATAGAAAATTGCGGGTCGAGTCAAAAAGATCTTGTCGTGGGGAGTCACATGTAAGGAATCCTATCTCGTTGCGGACAGCATGTCTCAAGCAGCGAGTCATAAGGCTCTATTACCTCGTTGTACGTCTACTATCTTCTAATATCTACACCCGGAAACTACCTATGTGTTGGATTGGTCTAACCCGGCAAGAGGGTAGGATTCGCCCGAATTGGGAAGTAAGAAATTCAGGGAGGAAGAATATATTACCTGACCGATCACTCTGTTTTATTGCAGTGCCAGTAGTTAAGCGGTTAACATTCTTTTGAATTTATCAAAGTCTGACGTCCGTTCGACTCGGACCTGGTACATATCATTTTTTTTTTTTTTTCTTTTTGCACCAATGTCGTGCACGCATTCATCTTGTGATCACAATCCGCGTCCGTTTTCATAACAGTACAGAGCCTCTCGCATTAGTAGCATACACTGAGGGTCCCTTCGGTATTACAGTTGGAGTGTGATCAGTGAAGATCCATGGGCTTTAATTCTTTACACGGCCAGCTGATCGCACGAGGTATAACGAGAGAGAGCATTGAAGTTGCCCCCTTCGCCTCCCTGAGCATCCTGCTCAAGCGAAAACCTCTCATGGATGGGATAGGGGTCAGGCGCCCCCATCGGTGACTTTGCTGGGGGCCCGGTGATCGCTCGCCTCTTAGAGTCCACACGGTTTCCAAGGTTCATCCGCGAGAGAGACTCCACATCGATGGGGGGTGAGTGCTCACAGTGGGTAGATCGGCCGATGTACTTAATAATATGCTACTGTGATTGGTTTGTCGCCCACGAGATTAGTTGACACAAATCGATCGGCAAATTTTCTCTTAGGTGCAGCTGCTGTGGGAAGCGAATTTGGATTTCATTGGCTCGCATACATCAGCATCCAATGGTTATCCATGCATTATCGCGAAATGACAGTCTTCGATGTGCGATTAGAACAAAGACGATTCAGAATGCCTCGAAGGAGATAAGCTCATGCATTGATTCACACTCAGGATCGCTGTGAGTTTGAGTGCGGAATGGGGAACCGCGAGGTGCGCAACTCAAGGCAGATAGCCTAGGTGGCCACGCCACTTGGCAATGGCAGGTGCAAGAAATGCCCTGGCGGCGCCCAATAGTCTGGACCGTCGAAGTAACATTGGTTGGGCGCAAGGGTTTGCTTGTCAGAACCACAAGAATGGATAGCCAGTAGCATGTATGCCTCAGCATCGGACTTGTTGAACCCAATGCCCGGATGTATGAGGATCAGGGCCCCCAAAGTGGATGACAAAAACCAAGGAAACATGCGCTACTACAAAATCGTTTATAGACCCCGACAATCGTGGGGAGCACACAGCCGCGTGAGGGCGGAAAGACCGCAGGAAACGAGCGGGTAAGCGCCGACTGTGACACAGGCTTTTTTAGAGATCGTCACTGTTTACAGCTCCCAACAGCTGCCAAGCACCTCCCCAGCAAGACTCGCATGAGCGACCCAGATAGTATATCTAACCAATACCCCCTTTTCATGATTGCTTGCCTGCCAAGCACGTACGTATCTGTTCCTGGTTTCTATCTCTCGTTTGATGCCCAACATGCTCATCACCCACACTTGCATGGACCAGTGGTGATCAAACCGCAGGACCTCGCGTTTTCTCTCCACTTGCATCCATCGCGGCCTCTGAGCTACGCCCCCCTTAGAACCCTTAGTCCTTGTCAGACAGCCAAACCCAAGAAAGGCGTCTGACAAGTTACAAAGAAAAGACTCCGTCTTGCGCCTTGTCTCCTCATCAACTCATATCACCAGAACATCTCAAATTTCTATCCTATTATCGCATTACCCAACAATGACCATCCGCGCCCCAGCATTCCTCAGCAAGTCGCGCCCATCGTCCCCAGGGCCAACGCGTGCTGATCGCTCGCCTCCGAGTGAGGCGGATGGCACGCTCCCAACTCGCCGTCCCCTCTCTCGTCTCCAGAACCCTTTCAAGCGTTCTACTTCAGCCTCCCCTGCTCCACTGACTCATACTCAACTTGCGGCCTTCAATGCTGCCCTGGACACTGCCTCACCACTCCCAGGAGTAGGCGCCCAATACCTTGACTCGCTTGGTCTCAAATTTGCGGAAGCCGCCTCAAACGCACTGGCTAATCCCGTAGGGCCTGTTACTCCTAATGCAAACACCCCAGGTTCGGCCGCTACCGCATCGAATGATCCGTGTGCACAACTTCTCAAAGGGCGGAGGCCCTTCCCACCTGGGCGGGGCGCCGCTCTGGGGGCACTCATTACAACCGAGCTCAGTCGCAGCGCAGATGTTCATCTCTCCCGAGCCATTGTTCGCACCCTGCAGCGCCCGTTGAGCGTGTTGCTAAACAACATCTCTGGTCTCCTGATGCCCATCCTTCCTTACGTCACAACACCTGCTACGAGTCAACTTTCTGCCCCAGCCACTGCCAGTTCTTTGGCTCAGTCCCACGCTCTGGGGATTGCTCGTCTCGCTGCAGAGCTTTTGGAGGCTTTGAAGGGCATTAACACCAGCGTGATCGTTGGAGCGGGTGGTGTTGACTATCTCCGCGGTACCCGCGATGGTCTCGAGGTCCTCGTCCAACGAGTAGTCAACCCTCTCCTGAGCAATATCAAGATCGAGCTTGGGCCCGTCTTGGACAAGCTGTCTGCAGCTCCTGAGCTGGAGGCGGATGGCCAGGCGCCAAGCGCGTTGCCAGCCCTTACAGCCGCGCTCCCGGGCATCACTATGCGCCTTGACTGGTACACATCTCCAGGTGTCCCTGCCCACTCTGCACATGCTGCTTTGTTGATCAGCCTCGTGTGGCGCGCGCTTGTTGCCCTCTCATCACGACCACTAGCGGATCCCTTCACTTTCATGGGCATGAAGAAGCCAAGGTCCCGCGAGGGAATGAATCAAGGCGGCAAGGACAAGACTTCGCCTGGTCTCAAGGCGAAGAAAGACCTTCCCTTTGTTTCAGCCCTATCTCGCCCAGCTACCATCAATGGCGCATCAACTCCTAATGGAGCCGCTACTCCGAACGGCATTGCAACCGCTCCGCCAGCGGTAGCTTCTGGTCCTACGCCGCCAGCGACTCCTCGTTTCGGAAGGATTGGACTTCCCCTCACATCTATTTCTCGCCCGCCCTCGCCGACTTCCTCCAGTGGCGTAGTTTCTAAAAGCAAGGGCGCGCCTGCTTCTCTTCCTGTCACACCTCTTCAACGCCTGCTTGCAGACACCTCTGCTGTCCAAGCGATGCTTGGTACCTTGAGCAAGCCCCCTTGCGGCTGTCTCGCGTTCGAAGCTGTTGACGAGGCTTTCGATGCTCTTGCGGGGTTCAAGACGATGCTCAAGTGGCTTGTTGACGAAGCCGTGGCTCAGAACGAAGGGCCGGCCAAGAGTCTCCAAGATATCGTTGAGCAGCTTCTTGAGGCCGCCGAGGATGTTCCTTGCCTGATCGCCCTCAATGTCCTCGTTCAACTTGTCTCCCCAGAGCAGCTATCGCGCCGCATGCCTGGTGGGGACGCTCGTGACGAGTCCACTGCATGGCGAGCTATTGCTGTTCCTGAACTACTCAACATGGAGGTGGAGGAGTATCGAACGAGCTGCCTCGCAGGTTTCTCGCGCGCAGATGCAGCCGTTGACCCAGTTGGCCATGCAGTTCTCGATGCCCTCGAGACCCACAAGCGTCCGCTAATGGTTCGGAGTGTTTCGTCGAGCTCAACCGTTACGTTCTCGCCTGCGGCTAGCCTGAGGGAGCTCCCTGGTACTCCGGGTCTCCTTTCTTCGCAGAAGGGGCTCGACCTGCGCGTGCTTCGCGCATGGCTCATGGAGCGCATCGCCACAAACGACGACGACAACAAGGACACTCCTATTGCTCCTTCGCTTCCTGCATCTACATTTGCGCCGTCGGTGGCGTCTGCTTCGAGCACTACTGGGCTTGGAGTGAAGCTGGCTCCATCTATCTCGTCGGGCAGCAGTATGAGCACCGCTAGCAGCAGCGGTGGCTCGGGCTTCAAGTCGGCGTGAAGCCAGGCTGGGCAGGTGATTGACTCATCTGTCCACCATACTGATGTTAGCAAGGTAGCATTGACAATGGAGGAAATGCTCTTGTCGTCATCGCTACCCTCTGCGGGATTCAACATCCCCATTTTCTCTCACTCTTTGGACTGGAACGACTTTGCTACACCGTGGTGTGGCCTTTGTGTTTCAGTTGTTTTATCGATTTCAACAATCGGCCATTTCGTCTTTCATCTTCATTTGTCTATGCTATACTTTGCTGTTTTCGCTCTATCAAGAATTTCTATCTTTGGGGACAATTGGACAGCTGCCTGCCGTGAATCAGTCCCTCAACATTACATCACCTACTGTTGTGTAGAATACATCGTAGCTGCGTTAGTAGATGTGGTGCTTATCTGTCTTCTTAGCCCATTCCTTTCGGAAATAGATGCCGTGCTTGATCTCGCATTGATGCTGTGTTGGGCAAACGTGAAATGCTTTCGATTATAGGAAATGGAGCAGGCTAATGACTAGAGGGTATTGATGAATCCGCAATATTATGACAACTATAAGGCATGCTAGGTAACGAAATGTTGGTGTAGGATAGGATCATAACGCATGATTAATCGCTGAGAACGATAACTTCGCCTGGAGTGAAGGCTGGTGTAGTTTTCTCTTCACTCTTGACCTTGGTTTTCTTCGACAGCTTGCCCTGTGATGAAGTTGGGCGAGGTCAATGGGGAAATCATGGTTCAGGGACGCTCAGCTACACAATATCAGTGAAATATGTTACCTTGATGCGAGCAAGAGCGACACGATCCTCTTCGTCAAGGGCATCATCGTCAGAGGAGATGTCCAGAACATCTGACTTGCGCTTGCCACCATGATTTCGATTACCAATATCTGTTTCCTGCTTCACAGTCGTGGATTCTCTCTTGACGGAGGTCCTGGCAGCAGATGTCTTTAGGTGCCGACTGGTTGGGTGTGATTGTCCTGACGCTTGGCTAGGTGATTTTGGTCGAGGAACAATTTCTCTGGCCCAGAGATACTCTGTAGGAGTGAACCGGAAGGAAATTTCAGTGTCAGAGATCGAGGACGATTTATTGGGTACCAGTACCAATTGGCGCATAGCGAAATGTCACTTCTACGAGTATCTTGTCAGTGCGGGGAACGCAAAGAAGAGTAGAACGAACGAACTGTACGGAGGAATATGTTTCAAGGGTTTAGACTTCCTTCCCGGGGTGTACTTGTTCTCTTGGCTATTTCCTAACCTTTGTGAACCGGTTTCACACACAGAAGCAATGAACCCAGATGGTGTTCTTTGTAGCTTACTGGATCGC